AGTTGGTTCTATTTTTTTAAGTTTTATTTCATGCTTTTTAATGATATTGATATTTTTTTATATACCTAACAGGTAACACTAAAAATATTTTTCTGAAAACCGCGTCAAAACCGTGTTAAAGTACGGACCTCCATTTTTTATTCGGTTAATATACCTAAAACCTTCTCCTGAGCCTGACAAATACTATGCTGAAAATTATATCAAAATCGGTTCAGCCAAACGCGAGATAATCGCGCACAAACATACATACATACAGGTCAAATAGAACCTTTTTTTAAGTCTGTTAAAAACAAATGTAAATCCGACAATTATAACAGAATGCCTGATTAGCATCTTTAAAATTCATTTACACCTAACGAAGGCAGTTATACCTACAAAACGGAAAGTATACTCTAGTTACAACTCCTGCATTCGTGTGTATCTATATTTGAGGCAGACGAGGGGGAAGCCCGAGGCTTCTGGTAATTAGACCTACCCTCTCCCGTTCCCTAGTTCCCTCCCTCCCTCTGAAAACACAGCCAACCCGAAATCAACAAAGCCTTGTATAAAATATTCTTGCTTGTATATCTCCGTCGTACTTTTTATAAAAGCTCTTGAAGACCGCTGTTACCAAAGACTTTGTACAGCAAAAAAGGACTTTCCAAATCAACTGGAGATTTTTTTATAACGAAAATTAATCATGTCGATCTTTTATAAAACATTTACTACAAAACTCCTTAAAATGTATATTACTTTAGTACTGTAAAAGTTATTGAAATGTTAATGACCATTAATGTTTAAAAGGAATTTCTTTTTCATTTGTGTAAACTGACTGCATAAGAAATTATTTGACATTCATAAATCGACGTAGTTAACTTAACTATTTATTAACTACTTGTGTAATTTTTATACTAATATTATAAAGAGAAATGATTTGATTGTTTGTTTGTGTTGAATAGGCTCCAAAACAGTAGTTTTATATACGTAGTAGAATAAATTACTAGTAGCTATAAATTACGTGGACGAAGTCGCGGATAACAGTATTACCTAATAAATATTAAACATGCAACATTAGACTTTATCAAGTTACCAACATTACAAAAGATTAGCTTCTGCTTCGTAATGTAAGGTCTGATTAGCAAGGTCCTTATTACTCGGGATCATTTTCCCGATATCTTCAACTACCATCGTCATATTTCAACAAATCCACCACTACATCTCTTCATGATTCATTATACTTACTACGACTTTTTGTGAAAAATACATATTTTTTTAAAGATTTTCGATTTCAGATAGACATACAGCCTGTCTATTAGGTATAATATAAACATAAACTTTAAAAGTGTCATAGTATATTGTTTCTAGTCCTTATAACTCGGGATCATTTTCACGATATCTTCAACTACCATCGTCATATTTCAACAAATCCACCACTACATCTATTCATGATTCATAATACTTACTACGACATTTTGTGAAAAATGCATATTTTTTTTAAGATTTTCATTTTCAGATAGACATACAGCCTGTTTATTATAATATAAACATAAACTTTAAAAATGTCATAGTATATTGTTTCTAGTAACTTCGATAGAAGTAATATCTATATCAAGCTAGATAAGACATTAGAATAGTAAAGCTGAGCATCGTTTATTTCTATGACGTCCTCGTAGCTTTTTATTACTTTCGATAACACGCAATTTGTGATAAAATATAATTATAGGTATAGACATTTACAAAGTACAATGGATTAAGCTTTATCAACGTATTGAAATAATATTAAAAATCATCGTGAGCCAAAACCCAATAGGTTTGCACACGAAAACCTCCGAAGTCGGGGCATCAAATCGTCGGACGCATTCACCTACGCGAGGGGACGGGGATTATCTTCAAATAAGCGTATTACTACCGGCCGCGGCGTGCTTTGTGATCCAAATAGCTACGGCTTCTAGTCACAGAACACTCACTCAGCCCCAATAAAATCGACCTATGATCCAGCTTCTTCAGTTATTATGAAAATAATTTTTACTCTGTGCCTTATGCGTCTCGCTAGTTATATGCTATACTTTCGTTCACTTGTTAGGAAAGCCCCAGAGACCAGTCTGAGTCTATAGATACGGTCTTATTTGAAGATTTAAAGAATAACTAAGGTTTCGTGCCGTTTTCCGTCTTTTATTATTATCCTGTAATTTGAGATTAGATTTTGCCGGGGCTGCGGCCGTCTCGGTCGTCGTCGAAGGGTGGCCAATAGGTATAAATTTGTGTTTTGTACTTTAAATTCAAAATAGAATTCTTAATTTAATCAAATTGTAGCTGTTTTTACGCGACTTTGCTCGCTTAAATTATAGCCTATGTCTCCAGTGAATGATATAGTTTCCCGTAGGTGAAAGAATTTGTAAAATCGGTTTAGTTGTTTCGGAAACTATTCGATGCAAACAAATAGGGAAATAATAAAATCTTCCCCCTTTATAATATTAGTATAGATTGCGGTACTAAACAGATGCATTAGATAAAAGTTGGCAAACTCGACTCGAATGATTTCGTGTCTCGCATCAGACTAAAATAAGGAAACTGGATTGTATTTTATGTATTTTATTGTATTAACATCATTCAACCTAATGGTTTCGGAGGATGGGCCACGAATTTCCACACTGGCTCAATGCGGATTGGAGGGTATTAACGACTGCAAAATGCAGCCGGGACCAACGGCTGAACTTGCCCTCCGAAGCACGGAGTAGCTCGAGATTTTTTTTTGGTCACCCATCCCGTGACCGACCCTTGCGAAAGTTGCTTAATAACAACGATTTCCGGCCGCGGCGCTTATCCACTACGCCACCGAGTATACAGCCTAAATAAGGTAAAATTCAATTAATGATGGCATTGCAGTAATGATATCAATACCTATTTCTGTTTTTTTTTGTTATTACGCAACAGAAAACCAGCCAATTCTGACATTATGTTACTAATACTTTAAAGGACAAAGATCTGATTGATTGTTTGAATTGAATAGGCTCTTAAACTACGAGACCGATATTTAAATTTTATTCCCCTACGGGTAGCTGTGTCATACTTTAATGACAAAGGTTATATAGTTTACGCTACCAAAAATAACTAGTTCATTTATGTAAAACATCTTTATATTTAAATTTTTGTATACATAAATATACATTGCGTTTGTATACATAATTTTTGTATACATAGATGATTCGTCTGTCGTTTATAATTCCGCATAGCAGAGCGGAATAAGTATTTCCACATCAAAAGCACCTATCCATTCTATGTAGAATTTAAAAATTTTATTCCCCCCACTCGCAAATCGTGTTTTGCGGAGTTGTCGCAGAAAATACGTGTAACTTTTCCTCACGAGGCGTGCGGAGGCCACATCGAATTAGGGACACTGTGTGGAAAACTGTGCGCAAAATATTTTGGTGTGACAAAAGAAGGTATTAGCGCTGCCGGTCGGAGGGTAAGATAATTTTATGCAAATCGCCCGCCGGCGTCACGGCTGAGTTTCGTGATGGATACAGAATTTGTTTATTTCGTCGTCGACTTCGCGCCAGCTTCCGTTGTGTTTGTTGTGAAACTTCTATCGATTCATTGTAACGTCAGGCGTGGCACTGTTATCAATTTTGTTCATTTGAATACCAGAGTAGGTGTATCTAGAATGATAGTTATTTAGAGTTCCAAATGGTCGGAAAGAGCTCAATGCAGAGATGAATGGAAAATGCTCAAGGAGGCCTACACTTATACAGTAGAGACAGGCTGAAGAAGAGAAGAAAAAGAAGACCATGTAACTTATATTTATAGAGTTCTCGATATTGTGGCGCTTCAACTATTTCATGAGCCAGGTGCTTGCAACAGTGTCGAAATATCGACAACTCGACAAATGTTAATGTCGATGTAAATTTAAAACAATATATCTGTATTTAAATACTCATCAGTCGCTGAACGACTGTGAAACTATTGAATCTATTACGAATTAGATAAATATAGCAGCAGAAAGCAAAATATAGATAAATATATATATCCATTGCTTTCTGCTTACCCGGCAAAGAGTATTGTACACAAGGCATGGTTCTTACATATCCCCCTCCTCTCATCGCCGATTACTGTGACTTCTGACGTCACCTTCTAACAGCACGCGTTTGATTTGATCGTGAAAGGTCTATTCTCATCAAAAACATAACTTGTACGTGTACAAAAATGCACAAGTCTCGCAACTCCATTCTTCTATCGTAAAAAGTTATAAAATGAATTCGATTATTTCAGTACTTATTCTTTATACGGTGATTATTTCGGTGGGTGCAAATATCCAACCTTGTTATAGAACCCCTTAATCATTTTTGTATTTCTTAATATTGTAATGAAAGGTTATTTTAGAGTGTAATGAAGTTGTTCTTCAATTGGACTTCTTGCTAAGAAATGGTATGGTATGAGATTGATTTGAGAACCAATGGCATAGTTTTTCTACTTTCACAGTAGTCACAGCCTAAACCACAGGTTAAATAAACACTATTATGCCGGTGATCAGTTTACTTCCTCAAATTCCTCTATGAATCAGAGATAATTTGGCTGTATATTTTAAGTCGTTGTAACACTTACCAATCCGCACTGAGCTCGTGTCATGGGCTATGGCCCTATTCGATTCCATTAGTTTTCTTAAGAAATCTTAAAGTTGTTATTATATAAAGTGTATTTTATTTATCTCAATAAATATTTTACACAGTTAGCTTTGAATAAATTGAATATAATAAAAATGAATTAAATATTTATTCACTGTATTCATCACACCCACATTCAACAATGTACTAGTAACATAAATAATACAAACATAAAATAAACTGCGGGGTCTTTAACAGTACAATGTGCAGTAATTCGTTCACATGTCGATTGAGAAAATAAACTTTACTGTATTGTAATAAGGTTGAAAGTTCGTACTTTTAAGCCTATAGTATGGGTACAGTGAGCACAATAGTAGGCGGAGCGGCACGCCTCCATCTTACGACACAATTAGAACAACAATGAAAGCACCAGGTAAGAAATTAAATGATTTAAATAAATTCGGAACTTTCACAAAACAAATGTCAAGAGACCAATTGTAGGCGTTTAACTGACTAATGGTATTCAAATAATGGCCCTTTTAAACGGCAAAACATATTTCGTACCTACACCAAAATGATGCCAAATGGATATATGTAATAAAATTAATAACTGTTATGTGGAAATTTATTTGGAATGCACATTTAGTATTGTAAGTACACTTTGAGTATTTCTATCGATTAAGAGAGCGCGCACTCCCAATAAAAATATATTTCAGTTGGTTTTGCAAAAAATACAGTTAAAATAAGCTTTAATTAAAAATTAGAAAACTATATCATATTTCTAAGGAGTTCGTTGTAGTCAAACAAAGAATTAAAATTGTGTACCATTGTTGCCAGGTACAATTTGATAAACAATAGAAAATAAATTAGCTATTAAAATACAATTTTTAATACTAAATTTAAATAATAATAATACCTATTGCAAATCAGTCAGGATATATCAAACCAGAGTAATTAATTATAATGTAATGGCAAGTAATAATATTATGAATCGTAATTTCAACAAAGAGATAATTTATAATGCGCTAAAAATGCTAGCGATCAACTTTGGAAACACATTAGATAATAGAATCTAATAAATAATAAGAGGTAATAATAACTAATGGTAATCTCGAATATAAAGTAGTTAGTATACCTATCTTTTTTATTAATTTATAAAAAAGCATTATTAATTTAGATAAGTTTTGACTGGCCGCTAATCAGAAATAAATAAAAATTACTGAATAGACGAGGCCGCATACAGAACCTAAATTAAGTGTTTATATTCTCTCTGACTTTTAAATTCAGAGAATTCTTTCTTGATTCGATTTAACACTGTAGGTGATAGTACCACATAGTACTTATGTTAATAATCATAATATTGTCAACCAGCGATATTTACCTACTTTTATTCAGTACTGCTTGTGTTTATTATGATTTTTAATTGTAGAGTACATTAACAAAATTATTTAGAGTAAATAATTATCTTACTTTAAAGAATGTTTAACGTATATTTTTTTATAGATAAGGCGGATAAAAAATAACGCATATAGGACGTAAGTAGCAGAATTAAATTCAACCGATACAGATTTAGTCAAAGACAAGGCAACAAATTACGTAATCCGTAGACGCGTCTACGGATTCGTAGCGATATTGTCTCGCTACGAACGGGTAAATATTTCCTGTAATTTCGTTATTCCACGAAACACTGCTTTCTGTATAAAACACAAAGCGCAAGCCGTAGCCGTGGGGACAGTAAACAAAATGGCGCATTTAAATGGGCGGCAACAACATTGTTGGCGCGCTGCGTTACATCGATATCGTTCGCTGCCCTTGTCGCACCTTCTAGCGAGGCCTCTTTATTTTCGTTGCTCATTCAAAATCAGAACAATGCACCAAGACTTGTCCTAACCCACGCCAATATCACATCTATTACTAACAACACTAATGCTATTTTATATTGTGCCGAAAGGAGGGTGACTTTTGTTAGAGTCACATGTGGAACTGTTGCACATTCTACCGTCTCTGTCTTACAGATAGGGGAGGGATATTTTCAGATTTGCATCTCGCTCTCGCCTACTCCTGAGAAGTAATGTGTTGTTGCGTGTTGTGATATCGCTAAAATAACAGGGAAGCACTCGCTACGAAGTTGTCATTTGTAACGGCACAACGGTTTTTGCGAGTATGGTTAGCAGGTAAATAAATAATACATTAAATGATTTTATCAGTATTTAGCTTAAAAAACAACCATAACTTTTGAGATATGTTTTGAGCTATTAAAAATATTGAATGATAAATCAGTACCATATAATTATGTTTTTCATAAACTGTTACTAGTTATAAACAATCATGAATAGGTTTTAAAGAAGATTTATTATTACTTTTCAGAATCTCATTAAGTCTAGGTAGGTAGTATAACTGTTAAACAATCTACTAAAACTATTAATCGCATAACTTCCGAATGACTGCACCAAATTGTTCGATAATTCTTTTTATATGTTCCTTTTTATCAGGACATGGTTTGTATTTAAGAAAATTAATAAAAAGAAAATTTAATTTTACATTTTATCAGTAAACAGTTCTTTGACGAAATAATCAACATTTACCAGATTGTCAATATGGTGGCATTAAAACTGTAGTTTCTTACTTACTCTTTATGGTAGGCGATTGGAGAAAAAATATGGTGGTACGAAGTTTGTGGGCCAGCTAGTAGGTATTATATATATAAAAAATTATCTGTCCGTCTCTTTGATTGTTAAAAAATATTAAACACGTATTTTTTTCGTAATTATTAAATTACGGCGATACATTGAGTTAAAATTTCATATGACGTCACGTTTTTGTATATTTTCTACAATACTGTGTCGTAGCGAGAACCCACTCCTCAACTTTACATGCCTGTTATCTAAGCTATTTCTTGTTAAATTGAAGCAAGAAAAAGTACGTGTCTAATATTTTTCTATTTTGTGACTGACGGACTCCAACGACGTCACGTATAACGTATAAAAGGTAAAATTAAGAAGTTCATAAGATGTCTCTGTAAATAGGTATCAAACTGTATCAAGATCACAGTTAAAATGTAATAAAAAGTAAAACAAGTGTTTTTTTTTTACATTAGGTAGGTATTGAATATGTCAAAGTATATACGAATCCTGCCGCCTGGTAAGTGACAGGGGGTATATGGGATCTTCTTCTTAAATGCACACTTTGGCTAGCCGTACGGTGTACTTTCTTCTGGGGTTAAGAAAGTATCAAATACATTAAAAACATAACTTTTTTATATGTTAGTTTAAACTATTGAAAAAATTCAAAGGGATAACAAGTACAAAGAACCATAACGCTATTAAAATTTAATATGCTCAATATTTTGAAAGTGTTTATACTCTATTTAGAAAGTGTTTATTTATACTGTACACATAATTAAATAACTATTAAAGAAACTCATAATCAAAATTGATTAACTATGCCAAATAATATGAAAAAAATAATATTCAAATTAATTAGTTATTAAACTGATAATAAACGTTACGTTGATAAGTTAAACGCCTTATATTTATAGTGAAAATATACTTTGAGACAAAAGCTCTCAAGTGAGGGAAGTTTTTTATCTTGCGAACCGTACGTATAGCCTCAAGGCAGGGCGCGTGGAGTCGCGAAGCCAGTGGAGTGGGGCGTTGCTAAACAAAAACACGTATACGCAGTGGCGAGACGCGCGATTGGCTGCGGCGGGCACAGCCCTCGAGAGCGTGCGCTCGCCGCCGACTGCCACTCCCGCATTCGCTGTTTGCGCGCCAACATGTGTAGTGGCGCCGACGGAGCACCCTGGCCGCTCGGCAAGGACGCGCCCGCGGTCACCGCCGCAGCTCTCGATCATTACCGCCTTCAACTCTACAATTATGCTGTCGCTGAACGTCTTAGGCTCTATCCACCGACCGTCGCACCGTGCTATGGGCCCTACGCACCTCGGCTCGCCCTGTCGATGTCTCTGCTTCAACAACGTGCGCTCCAGCCTGAAGAACCGAAACCTCAGCACAGTTACATCGGTCTCATCGCGATGGCAATTCTCAGCTCACCGGAACGAAAATTAGTGCTTTCCGACATTTATCAACACATTTTGGACAATTACCCGTACTTCCGCACCAGAGGTCCTGGGTGGCGAAATTCTATTCGTCATAATCTATCTCTGAACGACTGTTTCGTGAAAGCCGGCAGATCCGCAAATGGCAAGGGTCACTACTGGGCTATCCATCCGGCTAATATTGATGATTTTAGAAAAGGTGATTTTCGAAGACGCAAAGCGCAACGAAAAGTGAGGAAGCATATGGGTCTCGCTGTGGACGACGATGGTGAAGATTCTCCTTCACCACCTCCACAATCACCGCCGCCAACGGCGTTGCCTTTACCTTTTTGGGGTACGGGGCGGCTGCCAGGAGGCGTAACGGCACGAAAGCGGCAGTTCGATGTGGCTTCGCTGCTTGCGCCAGACGATGCACCCGAAAAACGGGTGAGGCGCGACAGCAGCGGTGAGGAGGAGCCTGAAGAAGATATCGATGTGGTGGCCAGTGACCAAGAGGAACGAACTGCGGAGGAACAACCTCAGTATCCGCTGTTAGGCGGTTGGTGGCCTCTAGAACCAGCGCTACTTCAACAGTTGCGACGGCATGCGCCGCCAGCGCCTCCCAGCCCTGTCGACCAGCAGCGTCCACCCGACACATAGGCTGTGTGAATCTATGAACTATTGTATATAGTGTGCATATTCCTTTTTCTTAAAAAAACATTTAACCCTAGTGAAAAATGAATCTATTTTCTGTTTCAATTCTATCAAAGCTCAGTACGGTGCATGCGTCGCGCGTTGAACTCTAATCGATAGATATCGTAGCTCTGCAGTGAGTGTGTTGTGTTTTACTTCTGAGACTGTTCGATCAAAATGTAAATATTGTAAACGACATATATGGTGATACGTGTAAATCAAAAACTGTAACTAGCAGTGATGATTCGTGGAGAATAATATCGAAGCTATCTAGTATAAACGTTACAAGTCTGAAAAACGACCAATCGGGTATAAAATCTTAGTTCTATTTGTATATATAGTAAAAGTGTCTAATCCTCATTGTTATCACTGATATGTAAACATACTGTTGTTTATTTACTAGAAATTATTAACATAATCGTATAAAATATGAGAAATCTATAAATCTCTGAATAAATTAGTAAAGTCACGATATTATCTTTTATTTAATAACCCTTTTAGTTTTTCTGAATTATGAGTTTTTTTATTTATTCAATTTAAAATGTAATTTGATTAAAGGCAAAATTGATCTTTATCGACGGTTTAAACATTTGTAGAAATATTTCTTTCGGCTGATTGGGTGGATTACTTGAACATGAAAATGAAAATATGCTCAGTAGTAGCGAAAAAGGAACAAATACTTAAAAAAACTAGTCAGTCCTGTTAGGCCCTGGGTATCTGTGGTTAGAGCAGTCGCCCGGATTTCGAAAGGTCATGGGTTAGGGTCCCATCTCAGAGAGCCAGGGACAAAGTAGATTTTCAAGCATTTTTCATTAAGAAGGTTAGATATTTATTATTCAGTTAATATAAAAAATACTTTAATGTGTCGTTGAGGACCTCTCTAATTGTATACTAGGACTTTTTATTTTCTATTATCAATTATTAAATGGTCAGTTCTAAACATCTCTAATTATCTGCTAGGAAATCGATGAAGTAAATCTCCGTTTTTCAAATAGAAACCATGACTTTTTCGTATTAATTTGATAGTTTCTATAATATTGGTATGCAAATTGCAACTGTCAGTGTTTTCTAATGTCTTTAATTCTTATGCACTCTTTTTGTAAAGTTTACTTGATTTGTAATATAATAAACTCGGTTATCCATTGCCTTTCCAAATATTTTTGATGAAGTCGGTAACAGGTCTATCCACACGTTTGTTTAGAAGTGACTTAATATGCTTAGAAGATGTGGAATTTAACTCTTGGACATCAAGTGGGCGAAATGCCCCGGCAGCTGGCTGGCCCGGCAAAAACGAAGCGATAACACTCGATTTACCCATTGATATTAAATGTTAATTGAATGTAGGTATTTGTTATCAGATTAGGCTCATGCCCATGTTGGTTGTGGATGCTCAGTTCAGTTCATTTTCTTGTTCATTGGAATGAATTTCTTATAATCATTTAAAAGATGACTAATAAATATTTGGTCGTGGTTAATTTTACATGAAAAGCGACATCAAATGATATTTCAAATTTTAAATTACAGAGACCAATAGATATGCTAAATATTATCATTTAATTATATTTATAAAATAATATAGGTATACGATGTCGTGAGAAAACAACTTGTATTAAAAAAATTAACTGTGCTCACCAGATTTTTAAATTCAGGTATTTTTATAACGCTTATATGCGCCTAAACGGTTTATTAACTTTTTTTATAGATAACTAGGTAATAGAGAAAAATCCATATAAATCATAGTGAGTCTGAACGAGATTTAATAACTACTTCGCTCTGCAGTGCTAGTACGCTGCCGCTGTATTTATAAAAATACTGCGCCAAATACAGCCCTCTCATAGCATCAGAGGTTCAATCAAATTAATCCGACTTCGAAAGGTAGAAAAAGGTTTTATTTCATTAAACATTTCATGCTGCGGCAACGCTGATAGTTTGAGGTTCAATGCTGTAATCGACGCTGAATTTTTAACAGAATAGCTGTATTGCATTTGAATTTTACAAACGAAATGTATATAAGAAATCTCTTAGTACATAATTCAATAATTTTTTTTTTTTATCAACGGCAGTATAAGCTTGATTGTTACTCAAAGCGTAAAAACGATTACTAAACACTTCGCTTTCAGTCCGTCTGGCACTAGACTTTATCTCATCTGTGATACTTAGACAGTTGAAATTTTCACAGATGTTGTATTTATGTTGCCGCTATGACAGTTTTTTTTTTGCGTTTCTTATAGATAATGGTGCGGAACCATTCGTGTGAGTCCAACTCGCACTTAGCCGCTTTTTAAATGTATCGGAAAAAATCCATGCCGACTGGCAGCTTAAATGTTTATTACGAGTCAACAGAACAAAATAAAAGTTTTTAAACCATTACTAATTATCTAACTGTAAAGAGCTTAACAAAATAATGATTCATATAACGTTACCGCATCGGAATTTCATAAAGTATCGAAACAAAGAAGTGATCTACAGATCCATAATTATATTCTTATTTAGAAACATAAAACACTTGATTCTTCTGTTCCCACGTTTGGCTAGCTGTTATTATCTACCTAAAATACATAAATGATTAGTGTTTAATACAATAGCTCAAAAGACATTACACTATTCATACTTATCTTTTCCCACGCGACTTGGGCTATTTAAAATAAAATAGCTTGTATTTTGAGTTAGTAATTTATCACCGATATGAGACAAATACTTTTCTCGGCTCATCTATTCTAACTTCCCTTATTTGTAGTGGTTGACCATAAAGTTTGAGTATTCTGTAAACATGTCTAAAAAGTGTCAAACGCAGGATAGTTTATGTATTTTTTTTTTCATATTATGTATTTATAAGCATTATTAAAATGCATTCTCAATTTCCTCTCCATATAAACTTTAATTATAAAATATTAACCCTACTCTACCAGATTGGACTACAATTATCTGATTCCTGTAAACAATTACGTAATCTAGAAAAATATATAGGTAAATATATATAAAAGTTTTAAATGTAACCTTGTCAGCATGAAATTTAATTACGCTATAACAATGCCTCAAAATTTATTAAATGTGATTTTTTTAAAATATGATTAGATTGAAGATTATTTCTTACAATTTATGTACACTCAAAGACCCCATCACATTTATTCAGAGGTGAATCCTATTCTAATACTTATCCTATCTTACTGTCCTCCTTTTTTTTTCTTTAAATTGCAAAGGAATGTCTGACGTGCTCGCAAATGTCGCCGCCGCGGACGATATAAACTTGAAAAGAGTTCTCAAATCTCTTCAACGCCACGACGGCATTATGAAGAAAAAAAATGATCGCCACTTGTCTTTTTTTCTCCGCTACTGCTAAAATAGATCGTAAAGTTGAAAGTGTATAAATCTTTTGCTGGCAGAGGTTCGTAAGTCGCTCTTCCTTATATTTTAATTCAATGCATACATGATTAAGCCCCAGCGTCAGCCCTCTACCACTCCCTAATCTGACGATCTCAATCAATCTTAAAATTAAATAATAACAATCACGTGACTGTTTTCGTAGCAATATGATTGTTATTATTTAAATAAAACAAATACCACGGATTCGATAACATTACGTTCCCTAAAATATGGTTGAGCGAAGTGATGACTGGCCCATGCATTATTCTCGTAAACTGGTGCTACTTACCTTACCTGTTCATATGCATATTATCTTTTTGACACGGCGCACGTAAATCGATTGACGAATGGTATTTTTTTTAATAATAATATCATAATTTAACAATGTTATTTTTCAATTTCACATCCCTCAAATGCATAGCTATATTTAAACGAGCCCTGCGCAGTTTCTTGCTGGTTCTTATCAGTACAACATCTCACGCAGAAGATTTGAGAACCAATGATGTTTCGACATGTACAAAATGCTTTTAATAGTCTTATCTGAATAAATGGTTTTGAATTTACCAACTAACTAACTAGACGGAATTGGTTACATTTATTAAGGTTTTGTGAAAATAGGAGATAGTCTAATTTTTTAAAATATGGGAATACTTACGCCATCTGGTCTACATGTAGATTTGCATGATTCATTTGCTAAGTATATCACGGTACAACGACTAAAAGCATAATGCATTATCCTCTACATAGATAGAAATTTGTATCTGTAAATAATCTATTGTTAATAATAAATAATATCTGTCTATCTATCTTTATGAATGTTTGACATTCAGTCATCAAGTTTTTCATGTTTATTCAAAAATAAAGCATTTTAAAAATTAAAATAAAACACCAATATTAAAAAATAACATTCTGCACTTCTTCTCCACATAGATTTTAACTGTGCCAAAATCCATAGGTACTCCTCTTTCCCTTCCAAAGTGGTCCTGAGGGCTTCTTCACGTATTCTTTTTTTTTTATTTATTTTGGCATCAAACAGTCATGTAAAATAACAATAATTTCACAAACAGTAATTATTAAAGAGACCTACATTGCCCAAGTTTAGTACAAAAAAGTCTTTTCATGCTTAAACGTGATCAGACAAATATTCTTGCAATAATAAAAAAAAGTGCGAGTGATTACAATAAAAATCAAATCAGAGGAGACTAATCAAAATGTAACAAAATAAAATAATAAAAAATACCTATTTATTTTAAACAATTATAATTATTTTTTACTTTAGGTTAAATTTATTTTAAGTTCTACTATTCTAAAATATTAATAGTGATTCCTTTATTTCTTTCAAATTCGTTACCATATTATCCTAGCGATCCTTACATTAATTCATAGATCAAGTCATGCACTTCATTTGTTTTTATGTATTATTTAAAGTTTCTAATGCAAATAATGTCTCTGATTATTAAAAGACATTATATGATAAATGCGGAAGAGATTGGTAATAAGCCAGGTAAACCAACAATGGCAAAAAAGGCTCGCGTGATAACGTTAGTTGTATACATCAAACGATTGAAAGTACGATAACTGGGACAATATTGTTTGCAAATATG